CTACTACTACTACTACTACTACTGCGGCTACTACTACTACTACTACTACTACTACTACTACTACTACTACTACTACGATTACTACCACTACTACTGCTACTACTACTACTACTACTACTACTACTACGCTACTACTACTACTACTACTACTACTACTACTACTACTACTACTACTACTACGACTTCTACTACTACTACTACTACTACTACTACTACTACTACTACTACTACTACTACTACTACTACTACTACTACTACTACTACTACTACTACTACTACTACTACTACTACTACTACTACTACTACTACTACTACTACTACTACTACTACTACTACTACTACTACTACTACTACTACTACTACTACTACTACTACTACTACTACTACTACTACTACGACTATTACTACCCAGGACGACTATCCCGTCGGCCAACCCGTCATGTCATCGATGTTGGCTGCTGGGGCTGAGCACGCGCAGAAAGTCTTGTAGCATACAATGCGAGTAGGGAGGGGGGGCGGCGGGAAGGGGGAGCGACGTAGGGAGGAGGTGAAGGATGAGGAGGACGATGAGGAGGAGGAAGAGGAGGAGGACGATGGGGGAGGAGGAGGAGGAGGAGGAGGAGGAGGAGGAGGAGGAGGAGGAGGAGGAGGAGGAGGGGGAGGAGGAAGGGGATGAGGAGGAGAGGGGGAGGAGGAAGGAGTAGGAGGAGGAGGAGGGATGAGGAGGGAGGAGGGAGGGCTCCAAGAAGGCCCCAAGAGGGCCCCAAGAGTGACCCAGAGAGACCCAAGAAGGCCCCCAAAGCAGCCCCTTCCGAAACATACAATATGTTTCGGTTGTGTTCCCGCCCCTTCCAAAACATGAAATATGTTTCGGTTGCGTTTTCCTCTTGCTGCCGTTTCGGGCTCTTTAGGGCCCCTTGTAGGACGCCAGTCCACTGGACCCACCAGCACCCCTCGAAAGTGGCGACAGTTTCGCAGATCGCAGCCCCCCCCCAGGGATGGCGAGGTCCAATCTGAGCCCCCATAGGACGTCACTCTGCTGCCCCCCCCCTGCAGATCTCTAAAGTTGGCCCTTCTAGGGCTTATAATGGGCGCCAAGAAAAGCCAATAAGGGCCCCAGGAGGGCTCCAAGAAGGCCCCAAGAGGGCCCTAAGAGTGGCCCAGAGAGACCCCAAGAAGGCCCCCAAAGCAGCCCCTTCCGAAACATCACATATTGTTAGGTTGTTCTTCCCGCCCCCATCCGAAAGAAAACATATTTGTCGGTTGCTTTTCCCTCTTGCTGCCGTTTCGGGCTCTTTTAGGGCCCCTTGTAGGACGCCAGTCCACTGGACCCACCAGCACCCCTCGAAAGTGGCGACAGTTTCGCAGATCGCAGCCCCCCCCCCCAGGGATGGCGAGGTCCAATCTGAGCCCCCATAGGACGTCACTCTGCTGGGCCCCCCTGCAGCCCTCGAACGTTGGCCCTTCTAGGGCTCATTTGGGCGCCAAGAAAAGTCAATAAGGGCCCCAGGAGGGCTCCAAGAAGGCCCCAAGAGGGCCCTAAGAGTGGCCCAAAGAGACACCAAAAAGGCACCCAAAGCGCACCCTTCCCCTAAGGATTTTTTCAGGATTCCTATGGATTCGCAAATATTCCTAAGGATTCCTGACGGAATCCGGAGGAGTCCTGATCCTAAGGATCCTAAGCGATCCCAAGGACCCTAAGAAATCCTAAGGATCCTAAGGAGTCCTAAGGAATCAGAAGGAACCCTAAGGAATCCTAAGGAATGAAAAGGACTTCTGAAGAAGAAAGAAATACTTCTGAAGAAGAAAAAAGTACTTCTGAATAAGAAAGAAGTGCTTCTGAAGATCCCATGGTTGTATTTGGTCCCATGTATGGTTGCAATTCGCTCCGAACGGTTGGAATTGGGACCAGTCGGTTGTAATTCGTCCCATTTTCGGGGGGAAGGGCGGGGGGAGGAGGAGGGAGGGGGGTTTAGGGAGAGAGGGAGGAGGGGGAGGGGAGAGAGGCAGGCCGGAGAAACGCGAGGAGCCACAACCACAGATGGCCCCTCCTCCTCCTCCTCCTCCTCCTCCTCCTCCTCCTCCTCCTCGTCCGCCTCCTCGCGATCCGTCTGGCCCCTATGGACCGCCAGGCATAGGAGAAAACCGACACCCCGACACAAACTGAATCCATAGTTTCTCTGATAAGGAGAGCGACGGGCATGGACGATGGAGGCCCGAGCAGGGGGATGAGGAGGATCGAGCCTCGATCCTCGATTTCCCTACTCGACCGTCGGTCCCCCCCCGCCCCTCTTGCGCACAAGGAGCGAGGGGGCGCGAGCGAACCACGGGCCCGCTCCGAGGTCGGACCAGCTCTTCCAGACCACGGGCA